TCGCACATGCATATGCTTCACCCAAAGGTAGATAACTGACTTTTTCGAATGATCTATCGATATGCATGCCGTGTGATGGAGCATGAATGATGATTTGGCCCCAGTCTCTGTAGGCTTATCATCACACACAAGGGTCACACAGTCCCTTGGCTCACTCATCTGAGCATAAGCTTCGACCTCATCAAGGGCTAACCCAAAACCTTTCTCCGTTTATTCTTTATGCCCAAGTACCTTGGGTTTTCCAACCGACTGGCCTAAATCGTCAAGTACAGTCCGGTATCAGCAAACATCATTTGCTTAGTATGGTCCACGATGCACCACACTCCCACTGAGTTTATATTCTACTATAATAAATGTTTTTCATTACACACTCATAAAGCCTTTAAAGGCCGCATAAACCCAACAAGACCAGCCGATCCGTTTCGAATCGCTAATCCACTAATTCAACACAGTTTTGGAATGGTTGATCCGTGTCATCGATCTGTTGTTTTAGCCTTTGATCTCAATTGCTCTTACTTTTACTTTGAAGTACCTTAACATTAAAATAATTTCCACAACATATCTAATGTGATAACCAATTTTTCAAATCGCTGGAACGACATGATTTTCTCAAAAAAAACCTAAAAACCTTGGAGCTGCATCTTCCATTGAAATGCTTAGATGCCGTATCATTCTAGGTGCCATAAGTAAAATTTGGGCCCTTTAGAACAATTCTTGCTTAAGTGCACTCTCTCCATCTTTCCCAAGCCATTGACACCCCAAGGTACAACAATGTTTTACCAATTCCCGAGTCAAGGATCCAATGTGTTACCATTGCATTTAGTAGGAGCATGTTGTCCATTTATTTCCTCGGATAGAAGACCGATATAAGAATATTTTCTCAAACTAGTGATCAACTTTAGGACCTAGATTAATATTTTTAAACATAATATTAATCTTTTGAGTTTTAAAACACTCAGATCAAACTATCAAAAAATTATATGACTTCCTTATATCTAAGGACTTTTTTTTTTCCCTTCACGTATGAATAGAATGCAATTTAAAAAAAATAATTAATTACTTTTTTTTAAACATGTAGATCGGACTATCTAAAGGTTAGGCAGTTTCCTTATATCTAAAAACACCATTTTTTGTTTCAAGCATGCGTAGAATGCACATGAGTTGGAGGCTGCTAGCTCCAAAAATACTCGTGGATGGGATTTTTGGGCCCCTAGGAGTTGTAGCAATGCATATGGCATATTTTTTTGGGTAATTTATTAGAAAAAACATGCATCTTACCTATTTTTTCATATAATTAGCAAGTTAGGTTTTTTAAATATTTTAGCAGGATTAGAAACCACAACGTGATAATTAGGTATAGGGATACTACAACCACGACCCAGCATCTGTCCTTAAATTTTATTGGATGCAAAGTTTTATACTCCACTTTAAAATGACCGGATGAGTATTTTTAAAAAAAATTAAATTCCAACTTTGTGTTTCTAAATATTTATACATAATAGTTCAAAATTGGAGAATCTCAATTTTATCTTGAAAAACTATTTCTTTTGACCTCAATTCAACTGCCTTTATGTCTTTATTTGAGGCTGGAAGTTGCCTTCTTGCCTCCCATAACGTTGGTCTTGAATTTTTTCTTGAATTAGTCTCACCCGTGGGTCACCAAGTTGAGGAGGTTGTAGGGGTAGCAATGGACTCGGGTCCAGGTATGGGTTCCAAATTTGGACCTAACAGGTTGGGTCTGGGTCCAAATATTAGATCTGAAAAATATTCAGGTTTGGGTACAGGTCTACGTAGATCCAACCCGGACCCAACTTGAATAGTGGTAATATTTAAATGATATTCAATATACAATTTTTTTAAAAAATATAACCATATATTTTTTAGGTATAATATTTAAATGATAAATATATATTTAATATAATATTTAAATATATTAAATTATATATATTATTATTTGTTGGTAAGGTCCAATTAGATCCATTAACTTTGGGATCAACTTTGGGATCTTATCGGATCCAACAGCGCAGATCCGACCCAACCCATTGCCTCCCCAAGGTTGCGGTCTTGGATTTCCCTAACTGGGGGGGTTGCATAATTCAGGGTCTTTGGGTAGTCTCACCAAAGGGAAGAGTAAATGAACAATATGCTCAAGCAGGAACACATAACGTCGTGGCATCGGTAAAGGAAGACGCCAAGGTAGGGGGTGCAAAAGAAATAAAGAGTAAAGAGAAGGGCAGAGAGTGGGTGGAGTAAAGGAGAGAGAAAAACAACCCTGTTTCTGGGGAATCTCACCCAGGGAAAAGCCCCTGCTCCTACCCAATACGAAAGGCCCACCAAGAGAGAGGTGCGTGCGACTGCTTAGAGAGAGATTGACTTTGATAACCGGAATTTAGATTTAAAAAAACAGAGGGTGAGCCATACCTCCCTGTTGACTTGCCCGGAAAGTGGTTTGGATCGAGCTGCACCAGCTCTGGCCCAATTCAGTCCTAGGCCATATATGACAAGCCCAAGCCTGCCCCTGTTAGGATCCGGATTGGGTGGGAGCCCAGCTGGGTTGGATAAAACCCAATAAAATTTTGAAAATAAGAAAAAATAAAGAAAAACATGCCTGGTTGAGTCATGCTGAGGTGACCTTAACCAAGTCTGTTGCCCAGCCCTAGCCCTAGCCTAATCCTTGAGCCACATTTTGTAATGGGGATCAATGCAAAAAAAATTGAACTAGAGCAGATAAGTGGACATGGGCTAGAAGCAGTTGCTCAATACTAACATGTAAACCGGCCTAACAGGGCCAGTCGTAGGGTGTTAAAAAAATGGAAAACATAAAAAAAAATATAATTAGATATAAAAAATATATTTTAAACGTGATTAAATAAAATACATCCAAATAAAATTTAAAATTAATAAAAAATAAATTTTAAAGAATCGATTTTTGTCCAAAGTATTTTTAAATTTTTTTCAAAAAAGATAAATAAATATTAATGGCCAAAACAATTTTCAGTCTTTACCAAAATGATGAAAAACATTAAAAACACATTTTACAAACAAAATTCTTTATTTTTTGAGATTTTATATAATCATTTTCAATTTTTTTATAAAAAATATCCAACCAGTTCATCAAACCGACCAAAACATAAACCGGCTGGACACCAATTCCAATCTAACTAGACAGTTAGAATTTAAACAACCCGATTTTTCTTATATGGACTCAATTTTTTTTAAGACCAAACCAAGGGACCCGGTTCATTACCAACCTTAAAAAACCAAGGGACCCGGTTGTTACCAACCGGGTTGGGACAAAGAAGGGGAGGGCTTGGAGAGAGAAACTAATAAGAGGGAGGGGAGTTGTGTAGAGAGAGATAATAGGTATTAGAGTGACCACGTGAGAGCGAGAGAAGGGACTTTTAGAGAGAGAGAGAGAGAGGGTGGTTATGTGGGTTAGAGAGAGAGAGTGAGTAAGGGGGCCCAGTTGAGGGAGGGGGTGCCTGCAACTTTTCGGCCCCCTTGACGGTGTGGTCTGGACGCATCAAAGGCTCCAAAGCGCACCTCGCCTCTCTCTCACTCGGCATCCCGACGTGTCTTTTCGCTGCCTGCTGCACCTGTACCTGCCCGCCTGCACCTACGCCTGCACACCCCCTTTTCCCTCGCCCCTCCCCTGCCACCACCACCACCACCAACCCCACTTTTCCCTCACTTTAATGCCCTCTTCCCCTACCACTTAATTTCCATATATGCCCATCCCCTCATTTATTGAATTTCAAACAAACTGTTTTCTTTCTACAACGCAACAAATTATTAGACACATTCTACATATGTTTGATTGTTGTTTCAATATATTCACCAATAGTTATGGTGGTGCAAATATTTTATAGGATTCATAAAAAATAACAATCTTCGTCATGGAAAATAACAAATTTCCTTAAGACAATACATAAAATTTGTCCATGCCATCAAGAGCAACGAGAAATGGAGGTTGTTGTGTTCTTACTAACAATTTGGCCCAAAACATTATAGCTTATAGTTGGCCGCCATTCTCTGCTACGACGCCGCCAACATTGCCGTTTTCTTTATGGGTGTCGTCGTAATTACTGCAGTCACAACTCGGGCTCGAGAGGTTATTGTGGATCAGACATCTCCGGCTCGAGAGGTTACTGTGGATCGGATGAAGCTTATTGATGGTTGATGTTGTGAGATTTGGGTTTAGTGTTTAGAGTCATTAAGCTTGAGGTCTACTTTGATTGGGCCAATTGGGATACTTTTAGTTAACAATTTAAGGATCATCGTGGTCAAGAAGGCATGTATTGTTAAGTTTAGGATAATCATTTTTCAAATGAAAAAGTTTATATAAGTGTGAGGCTCTAAACCATCAAATTAAGGCGCATCTCAAAAGATTTTATTAGAAGAGGTTGTTTTGATGCCCAAACATCCTCAATTTAATTATCTCAACCTCAAAATGCGGGCATGAACAAAAATAGAATTTCAAGTTTTGAAAGTAGTGCGTAATGCATTTTTGAACTGTTAGTTTTCAAGTGTTCATAAATTCACTTGATCTATACTATTTTTGAAACTTATAAATTTTATAATTAAAAATGAAAATAAATTTTCAGGTTATCACAAGGATGTTCAATATTGAAACATCTTTCGACACTATTTAAATACACGCCTTACTGTGATGGTTTAGAGCCTGAGCCCTATACAAACCACACCCCTTTAAAAATAAAGGCTTGTATCCTTCTATCTATCTATTCAAACCACGCCCCTTTCAAAATAAAGGTTTGTATCCTTCTATTACTATTGTACCAATGGAGCTTTTGCTCCTGAAAAAAAATAACGACTAACATTTTAACTCCAAAAACAAAAACAGAAACAAAAACAAAACCAAAACCAAAAAAGAAAAAAGAAAAAAGACAAAAGGAGGGGCATTTCTGATATTAGAAGGAATTGAAGGAGTAATTGGACTTACCTCTCTCTACTTACACAATGAATAAATATCATCCCGCATCAAACACGCCCCACCACTCCCTTTTCTTCCCCAATTTCAATAAATCGCTGCAAACCCCACAAACGCAATCCAACTTAAAAACCCACAGGAACTGAATAATGCAATGCCCCGAGCTTGAGCTTGAGCTTGAGCTTGAGCTTGAGCTTCTTCTTCTTCTCAGCATCTCTTATAAATAAAAAACAACATCTTGCTCATGCTGTGTTCTAAGGCTCTCTCTCAAACAATAGCTCTGTTCTTCATTTTTAATCTCTTTCAAGCAAAGCTCTCTTCTTCTGCATCTCCACTCTCTGTCTGTAAATTGTTTGAACCAACGCTGAGAGGCTGAGTTGGGATCCTATGGGTTGATGGGTGTGGCAGGGGAGGCCGTGATGGTGCGATGGCAGGCGGAAGGCGGCGAAGTGTACAATGAAAGAGCGGCAGCGCTGGCAGCCTGAGGAAGACGCCCTCCTGCGCGCCTATGTTAAACAGTATGGGCCCAAGGAGTGGAACCTCGTCTCGCAGCGGATGGGCCGCCCTCTCCACCGCGACGCCAAGTCCTGCCTAGAGCGGTGGAAGAACTACCTGAAGCCTGGTATAAAGAAAGGCTCTCTCTCTCAAGAGGAGCAGGCGCTCGTCGTTGCCCTCCAGGCGAAGTACGGGAACAAGTGGAAGAAGATAGCGGCCGAGGTCCCTGGCCGCACTGCGAAGCGCCTTGGCAAGTGGTGGGAGGTGTTCAAAGAGAAGCAGGCGAAAGACAAACAGCGGAGGCTCCAGCAAAACCACCACCACCACCACCACCACCAGCAACACTCGTCTTCGATCTCCTCGCAGCAGCCTCCTGTTGGCTTATCCTCTGATTCATCGTCGGTTCCTGTCTCCGGGCGCTACGACCACATCCTGGAGACGTTCGCGGAGAAGTATGCGCAGCAGGCCAAGTCCTGCTGCCTGCCGCCACCACCCCCGCCTCCCCTCTTGTCGGACCCAACACCACTTCTGTCGCTGAACTCCGCAGGCACTACCACCCAAAGGGCGCCGGCAGCTACTGAAACACCAGCATTGTTGCCGTCGCTGCCCCCTTGGTTGTCGGCAGCAGGGGGCCTCAAGAATTTCGGGGCAGTCCCCAGTGTTTCTCCACCACCACCACCACCACCACCACCACCATCTGTTAGCTTATCTTTGTCACCTACTTCTGTAGCAACAGAGTGCACAATGCAGGCAGCGGCTTCCGGGGTGGTGCAGCAGCTGGCTCAGTGGTGTCGGGAGGTGGAGGAGGGGCGGCAGGCGTGGGTTCAACAGAAGAAGGAGGCAGCGTGGAGGGTGAGGAGGGTGGAGCAGCAGCTTGAGTCTGAGAAGTCGAGGAAGAGGAGGGAGAAGATGGAGGAGGTGGAGGCCAAGATCAGGAGGCTGAGGGAGGAGGAGGCGGCATTCGTCGACAGGCTGGAGGCGGATTGCAGAGAGCAGCTGGCCGCGGTGCAGAGGGATGCAGAGATGAAGGAGGTGAAGCTCATGGAGCAGTGGGCTGCCAAGCACCTCAAGCTCGCCACCTTCGTCGAGCACCTCTCATCTCAGCATCCATCCTCTTCATGTTTCCTCAAGGACTCCTTGCTTTGAACTCTCTCTCTCTCTCTCATCCATGTCACGGAGCCTGTATACTTTTAATCTTCTCACTCTTGGAGTAATGGGTGTTTGCTCAATCTAATTTTGAAAGAGAAGAAATTGCAGTTCAGATTCAATTTAACTTTTGCTCGAGCTTGGAGTAGTCTTAACCAATGAAGAATTCATTGTTTTTTTTTTTTAATGGAACATGGTTTGATAGCGCTGCAATTCTTTTATAAAAATAAGCAAAAGCTTTACCTTACAATTCAAGCATCGGAAAACCTTCACATCTCTATGACCTCGGATGGGCTCTGAAGATATTACTTGTAAAAAAAAATTACAATTTTAAGTTCTAAAAATCGTGTATACTATATTAAATAATCTTGACTTTACATTTTACCCTAAAATTAAATGTTCATCCCATAAGATCTCGTAAGATATATATCATTTCTTGAATTTCAAATTTTACTATGGGTGATGGAAATTGATTTAGATTCATCATGGACATTTTCATTACCAAAAATGTTACATTTTACCCTAAAATTAAATGTTCATCCCATAAGATCTCGTAAGATATATATCATTTCTTGAATTTCAAATTTTACTATGGGTGATGAAAATTGATTTAGATTCATCATGGACATTTTCATTATCAAAAATGTTTTTCGGGTGAGAAATCAAGATGGAGCTTTTATTTTATTTTCATAAAGCGGGGCCCATATAGAAACTTCATCTCTTTTTTATTGCCATCAGCTTTTCAACTTGGGGTGGCAAGGGGCCGAGCCTGGACCGGGCGCCAAACAGGCTGCTCATGCCTCAAGCCCAGTCTTAGCCCAGCCCAGACTAGACCCACCCTTGTGTCCTAGTCCAGTTCTTGGGCCACATTTTATTTTATGTTCGAAAGCCCTAAATAATCAGGAGATAAAAAAATAAGAGGTCAAATGGATCTTGCAAGTCCACCAACTTGTATTTCAAGTATCTTGGGCCAAGTCAACTTGATATGAAAAATAGAGTGGTTGGAACCAAAGAATGTCTCTTGCTTCAAAGATGCTTACCTTTTTCTATGAGGTGAAATCCCAATTTCGTCCCATAGGTATAGACATATGGGGACTCATTGCTCCCTACTTCTAGGGTTTGTAACCAAGACGCCCTACGCATAGCCCTCATGTAGATTCTTAGGTTCTGATGGACCTGGTCTGACCCATTAGGTTCAGGTGTACTGTCACCTTAAGTTTTAGGGAAAAGTTTCGAACGTCCGTACAAAATGCTGCCACCCTTGCAAAATTCATTCTAAATATAGATTTTGGATCTGAATTTTTACATGGCCATGTATATCTTTAGGGGAAAGTATCTAATAGGACTATTTATCTTTGGTAATCACAATAAATCTTGACCATTGGATGTGAAGTTGAGGGGCTATATTTATTTTATTGACCAAGCTCAAAGTTCAATAGAATTTTTTTCAAATTTTGTGACACACCCATGTACATGCATCTTGATGAGCTATTTTCAAAACTTAAAATCCATTTTTTTTCTCATGCACATACATCTTGATGTTGACATAATCAATTTGAGGATATTTAGGCATCAAGACAACCTCTTCCAATAAAATTTTTGAGATGGGTTCTAATTTGATCCTTTAGAACCTTGGCTCTATATAAACTTTTCCTTTTAAAAAAAGGGTACGGTTTGTATAGAGCCTGAGCTTTAAACAATTAAATTAAAGCCTACCTTCAAATAGTATCGAGAAATGTGGTTTCAATACTGAAAATATTTGTGATAGTCTTAAAATATATTTTCATCTTTATTTATAATGTTTAACGCTTCAAAAATAGTGTAGATAGATAGATCTTATTAAAATTGACGGTCCAAAAATACGTTACAAAACACATTATTTTCAAAACTTGAAATCCACTTTTTTCTCATGTCCATGCATCTTGATGTCGAGATGATCAATTTGGGGATATTTGAGCATCAAAACATTCTTTTTTAGTGAAATTTTTGAGTTAGGCTCAAATTTGATTGTTTAGAGCTTCGGCTCTGTATAAACTTTTCCCTTAAAAAAAAAGGGTCTTAAACTTCAAAGATAGCTTAACAAACAAAAATCAAAGTTTAAAATAATCTATTTTTAAGTATTAAGACCCCATCCCTTTTATCTTTGTTGATAAACTATATATATTAGACGAAGTTATGGTGCGGCAGCCAATACACCTATTCATATGCCATAAAAGGCATTCCAGTTTAGGCACAGTGCCCCACTAAGACCCTAACATGTGTTCAAGCAGGTTTAAGGGGTAGGTATGGGTGATCTGAGATTTTTGAGAGGTCATGAGCTTCCCCATTGTTGATTAGGGTTTTGGGGTACCAGGATATCGCTAGATGTCGTCATTAGGGATAAAGTATGATTTAAAGCCATTCAAATTTAGGTATATTTTAAGCTTTAGTAAAGGGTGTGGTTTCTATATAAGGTTGCAATTTTAAACAATCCAATTAAGACTGACCTCCAAATTTTATCACAATAAATAATTTCGGTGTAAAAAATTATTAGAATCATCTGAAAATCTATATGCATATCTAATTATAAAATTTTAAACCCCAAAAATAGTTAAAATCAAGTAGAGGTAAAAACATATAGCAA